CAAGAAGCATTTGGCATTAGGAGCTGTATTTGAAGGGCAGAGTTGTCAGCTGGAAGACTCAGGCACCTTCCTGCCCATTCCCCATGCTTTCATCACCACCTCTACACTGGCCCCTTCTCTTTCTGTACATGTGCCTTACTTGGTGGAACCCTTTTCACATGGTCTCTTGATCAGCTCTGTCCTCACTGCCTTCTGCTGCTGATCTCAGCAGATCTCCCAGGTTATCACGACCCCTGTTCTGAGAAGTGTGGCAGACACTTTAGACTGGCTGCCCAAAGCTCAGTCACCACTCAACATTCCTGAAGGAGGTAATGGTCATGTAACCCAGTTTTAGACAATTAGATTTAAGCAGGCATCACTGGAGATGTTTCCCCAAAAGACATTTAAACAAGACAGACTTTGCTTGTCTTCCTCCCTCCTATTTTCTTCCTTCCTTTAAAACAGACAATCCCTGGAGCCTTAGTACCTATCTTGTAATGAGGACAAATGCCACCAACTACAAGAATGGCACAGCTGAAAGAAGGAAGCCAGCTAGTGCATCAAATCCTCAGGCTGACCTATCAGTTCCATTCTGGCTACCTCCCAGTTTTTGCTGCTTGAAACAACTACCTATGTAATTCCTTGTCACCCAGCACCAGATTACTTAACTACAAGCATTGGCATCAGCTGGGAATTGGTTAGAAATGAAGACACTCAGGCTTAACCCCAGATTTAATAGTAATTTAATTTTAACAAGATTTCCAGGTGATCTGCATGCACATTAAGCTTGCAAGGCAATGACATAAGTCACTATTAATTACAGTATTTTGTTGCTTTCTGTTAAATATAATCCTAGCATATATAAATCCTAGGAAGACCCTGGATATTTTTTTCTAGAGTTTACACTTGTAGTTCTGATTAACAAACAACTATATGTATATTTCTCATACTACCTAAGATTGCTAACTTAATGGTTTCATAAAAGAAAATAAACTAGAAGGATAAAAATCAGAGATACAGTGTGTGTACAACTAGAAGGCAACAAATTCTTTAATCCTGAATAAGGCATGACTCCCCCCATCTTGGTGTTCTTGCTGATGAAGTAGCCAGTTATGTGAAGGTCAAAAAGACAATAAGGGAAATTATTATATAAGTAAATAGGGTATAATCATAAAAGCATTATTGTGAGTAGTAAATCCTGCAAAAAATATTTTCAGATAAATATTGTGTGATTCTACCCATATGGGTTCTCCAATCCATGGAGGCAAGAAGTAGAACAGTGGCTGCTGGGAGCTGAAGGTGAAAGGGAACAGGACTTGATTTTAATGTGTTCAGGGTTTCAGTTTAGCAAGATGCAAGATGAATTATAGTAATGACAGCAACAATGTGAATACACAGATCTGGACACTTAAAAATGGTCAGTTAAAATGGTAAATTTTATAATGTATATTTTACCATAATTTTTAAACAGTATAATAATTTTTCTCAGTAAAATCTCTATTCTGTGGAACTATGGACAAAAAGCTAAGCTGTTAGCCAGGCATGGTGGTACATGCCTATAATCCTAGCAGCCTGGGACACTACAGTAGAAAGATCTCAAGTATAAGCCCAGCCTGGGAAACTTGGCAACATAGCAAGATGCTGTCTCAAATTAAAAAGTAATAAAGGGACTGGAGATGTAGCTTAGTGCAAATTCCCTGGATTCAATCCCACCCCCTAGAACTAAACAATTTAATCTGCTTCATTTACCACTGGAACTGCAAGCTATGTGTGTTTATTTTCAGGTAGAGCATCCCTAATCTCCAAAAATCTAAAATGCTCTCAAATCTGAAACTTCTGAGTGCCAAATGACTCCACAAGTAGAAAACTCCTTGTTTTGTGCACGAAATTACTAAAATTAATGTGTAAAATTATATTCAAGCAATGTACATATATGAAACATAAATGAATTTCATGTTTAGATTTGGGTCCTCTCCTCCAGATATCTCATTATATGCATGCATGCAAATGTTCCAAAAAATCCAAATATGAACCCAAAGCACTTCTGGTATGAAGCATTTCAAATAAGGAATACTCAACCTGTATTTAGGAAAAGTGGCCAGGAAAAATGATTCTAGGAAAGTAGACCTCATAAGAGAAGCCAAGAAAAGTAACACAAAATGTAGACTCTCTTAAGGATTAAAGAGCCATGAGAACAAGGAAAACACCCAAGCCACATCTGTCCTATAAAAAAATTATCTGGAATAAATATAAAGTTACTTGATTCATGAGAAGGCAGCCCCATAAATATGTGAGCCAGTGTATGTGGCTGGAATGCTGGAGGCTTAAAATTGAAAGCAACTTGTATTGTATGGATCATGTTCATAACTGTAGAATGATTACGTATAACAAAATGTTGAGATGAGAGAAAATACCACAGCATCTGTTCCTAAACTTTAAACACTGTCATTATAAACTACTCTTCCTATCAGTGGTTTATGAGATCTTAGAATACTTTTCTAATATGCACCTACAATAATATTACATTAATCTCACATATCATATTCATTGCTTCCTTTCAACATCAGACCCTTCGGGATACCTAAAGAATGATTTGACTTCAAGAGAAGTCAAATATTAACTAGAGGTGATCATTTTAATTACCTAAAAGTGGTCAATCAGCCATGTGTTGAAAAGACTTCAAATCAATTTAATTCATTAAAATAATTAATAATACTGTTATATAGTACTTTATAACATTTGAAGTGTCAAATAAATGGTCTATAATCAGAATAACTATCAACATATAAAACAATTTAACAGCCACAAAGTGACCATAATGAATCCCTATCATTTTATCCCTAGGACTAATAAAGGAAACGATATATTATATAAATGACATAAAAATGTCACTTTAAAAGGTAAATGCTCAGTCAAGAGCCAAAACCAAAACAAACAAAATCAAGGAAACCCTGAAATTTTCTTTATTTACATGTATTTTTTAAAGTGATGATAAAAATGCATGATTTGGACCAATAATTTCAGATGGTATTTAACAGACAGTACTAGAGTATTTGATAGAAAATATATAACAGATTGTTTACAAACACTTTTTTTTTTTTGGTTCCAGGGATCGAACTCAGAACCTTGTGCTTGGGAGGCAAGTGTGATGCCACTGAGCTAAACCCTCGGTCCTACAAACACTTTGTAAAAACTGTGTAAGGTCTGGAAATAAAATGGATAATCTTATTTTCTAACCTGTTTGCTAAGGGTAACTACTTTTTATTACTGCAGAGTAAAAGCACTCCAGAGAATAAGAAGAAATGACATGAGCTACTTCCCTTTTTTGTTATAAAACCAAAAATTTACATCCAAAAGAGACCAGCAAAAGGAAGAATTACTGTTAAAAATGTTAAATATACATTAAGTGTTGCTCATCACTCTTATTTCTAGAAGTGGGAAACTGCTCAGTCTAGTGAATTAAGAAACAGAGAAAATGTCAAAAGCAATGAAAATGAACCCCAGGCAGATCTTAATGGCTTAGCTGGTTTCTCCATCTATAAAAATCAGGACGCTCTTACTGCTGTTTGTGTTAGGTAATTAACAGCTGTAAAGCACACTGAAAGCAGAAACCGCTAAATAAATAATGACTGCTAAAGAATTTCACCATAATGTGCTAAATAATAATGATGAAACATGGGCTTCTAACTTTGCCATTTTTGTTTTCAAATTAATAATGCAAACAAGTCTCTAACCTCATTAACATGGCTAGTGTTAGTGAGCAAGTTAATTTGAAGTCCCAACAGCAGTGCATTCAACTCTATGTACAGCAATGAAAACGAAGTCATGTTCTATTCCTGCAGCAGAAATAGCAACACTCTGTCTGTGTCTACCTTTTGGTTGATTCCAAATTGAAGCTGTTCCACTTGAAAATACACTAAGCAATAAACTTTTTGAAAATTTCCATTGATTTCCAATTGATGCTGAAGCCTTACATCTAAGCAATGTTTTAAACTATTTTCTTGGAATTAACAACACAATAACATCCAAAAGGACTATTCTCTACATTTTCCAATCTATTAGATTACAATATTTATAAGATTGTAGCCTCATCTAAGAACTTTCCACGCATTTTTTAGACTTGCTTACTGAGGAAACAGGACACGACAATATTAGCATCAGAGATACTAGATCTTCCTTCTAAACTTTCTACCCGAATACAGGCAGGTCATAAAATGTAAACTATGCAACCAGGAAAGGTAACAATATTTTACTATTCAACTTATTCTTATTTTCTTGCATGTACATTTACAAAAACCACTGAGTTCTGTGAAATCATTAGAAAAAGAATTATAAATGAGGAAAAGGTGGGAAAACATTAGAGATTATATCTATTTTGATTATTTCTCAGTGAAAATATACCATCTATACAATAGTCTTCTACCTAAATCCAAAATCTGATCAAGGTTCTGTACACAAAATACATTGTTCTCTGAATTTTCTGTATACTTGCAAATTAAATGTAGAATAGTTCACTATATGTTCATCATAGAATGGTTTCAGTATTACTGAAGAAACCAGTCTAAATCTTGTTTATTATCTATTTGGGGAGAAAGTCACCTCCCACACAGGCAGTATTTTGAGGAAAAATTAAACATCTACATCAGAAACCAAAGTAAAGGGTATTACGCACATTAAAATGCAAATATATGATTTTATTCTCATAACAACCAAAACCTCAAATACCATTTTTAGTGACTCATATTAATTTAATCGTGACATTAGCTTTTACAATCATAGATGTAAAAAGACCACTGAGTTCCAAACATAATTATCTCAACATCTCATTTTGTGAAATTATTACTTAAGATGAGCGCCTCTGAATGAATTTATATTTGATTAGTTTCACTTATTTAAGAACACTGAATAATTTAAGAGCTGTTTAAACAAAAGGGAAGCAAGGAAGATACTTGAGTGAGTGCTGAATTCTTCTGTATATTCCCTGCCAAATCCAGATGGATCTTATGTTCTCACATACATACCTTCCAAGTGCAGCCACATCAGCCGCCCCTTCACATTGACCACAGAGGCCACACAGAGTTCTCCTGGGTTCCTAGGGTTCACAGCTTCAAGTTTCATGTTCTTAGTGAAGCCCCGACTAAATGATGTCTGGAAGGGAAACAGAAGGGATGCTGAGCTAGTAGTTCCCTCGGCAGGCTAAGGGGCAGCAACAGAGTTGGGGGATGTAGAACCAGACATGGACACGTGCACACATATCTCACATATGAACCATACAGCTTTGGCTACACATTTGTCCTTCCCACCAATCACAAGGAAAGAACCATGGACTCTTCATTTTTCAAACCCAGAAATTACTTACGCTTGGCATACAATGGGTGCCTAGTAATACTTGGTAAATGAGTGAAGGCCTGAATACATTCACTCTTTCCAGTTCCATAGGCACCCTTATATCTATGAAATTATTGATGGATGCATCATTTCTTCTACTCCCTTTTATTTCCTGCTAAAATCATACCTATGTATATTTGAGGGTAGTGACATAGGAAGATGGTGTATCCATCTGGCATCATTTTCTTTTAAAGGACATTTGAAGAATATGCTTTAGCGTTTCTTATAGTACATATCTGCTGGTGATGAACTCCTTTAGTTTTCTCTTATCTGAAATGATCTTTATTTTGTTTGCTCTTTTTATTTACTTTTTAAATTAACTTAAAATTTTACATATAATAAGATTCATTCTTTTGGGTGTCCTGCTCTGTGAAAGCAGGATTGTTAAACCAATGCATAAAGTCATGCACCCATAACCATAACACAGAACAGTTTCTTCACCCCAAAATACCCTTGCATTTTGGCCCTTTTCTAATCAATTCCTCCTTGTCACTTAATTGTGAGCTACCACCAGTTCGGTTTTTCTTGTCGTTGTCCCTAAAATTTTGTCTTTTTACTCCAGAGTGTCATATAAATGGAATCACTATATATGGAACCTTTGCAGCCTGGCTTCTTATATTTAGCAAAATACATTCAGGATTCACTCAGAGTATCCAGGAATCAGTAGTCTGTTTTATTTTATTGCCTGGTAGTTCACATAGCTGTACCACAATCCACTTGCCAGTTAAAAGGCATCTGAACCCTTGTCAGTATTTGGCCACTATGAATAAAGCTACTATAAACAGACAGGTATAAATTTTTGTGGAAACAGAAATATATTAACCTACACAGGCTGCCAAATAAAATACTATAGACTGGTAGATTAAACAGCAGGTATTTATTTTCTCATAGTCTTGAAGGCTATATGTCCAACATCGAGGCATCAACAGTTGGTTCTTTCTAGGCCTCTCTCCTTGGCTTGCAGATGACTGTCTACTCCTAGTGTCCTCACATGGTCTTCCCTCGGTATGTACCTGTGCACTAATTTCCTCTTCTTATTAGGATGCCAGTCATACTGGATAAAGCCACCCATATTATCTCTTCTTACCTTAATTACCTTTAAAGATGCTACTTCTAAATACTATCTCATTCTGAGGTACAGGTGTGTGTGTGTGTGTGTGTTGAAACCTGATCATATAAATGGGGGAAACCCAGCTCAACACCTAAGCTTTCACATATCCAGAAATGGGATTATTGGAACATATGGTAAAAGAAAGTTTAGCCTTCCAAGAAACTACCATGCTATTTTCCAAAGTGTCTGTATCATTTTGCATTCCCATCAGAAGTATGCCAGTATTCCAGGTACTACAAATCCTCATTGATATTTGATACTACTATTTTTCAAAACTTAGACCAGTACATATCTAGAGGAAGGTCACTGTGGTTTTAACGTGCATTCCCCTAATTAACGATGCTGAGCATTTCTCCCTGTTGGAGATACTGATATAGATATATAGATATATCATTTTTTAAGATAGGATATGGTCTATAGTTCAAGCTGGACTTGAACTCACTATGTAGCTCAAGCTAGCCTCAAACTTGTGTTGATCTGGCCTCAGCTTCCTGTGTGCTTGGATTACAGGTGTGTCCCATCACGTCTTCTATATATCTTTTTGTTTTGTTTTGTTTTGGTACCGGGGATGGAACTCGGGACCTCACGCTTGCAAGGCAGGAGGTGGAACCACTGAGCTAAATCCCCGGCCCCTACATCTTCTATATATCTTTATAGGTCATGTATCTGGTTTTATTTTTATTCAGTCACCTCTTCTGGGTTTCCAATTATACGTGATATTGTCCCTCAGATCCCTGAGCTTCCATTTATCTTTTTCTCCCCTCACCAATCCTATTGTCTCTCTTCTTCACATAGGATAATTTCTCTATTCAAGGTTGTGGACTCTTTCCTTTGTTATCCCCATTCTATTCCAATGAATCTGAATTTGTTTATTTCAGAAATTATATTTCTCAAGTATAGTTTCTACTTCTTCTCTGGGACTTCCTATCTTTCATTCACAATGAGGATATTTTCCTTTATCTTTATGATTTTCAAACTTTATGACATCTCAGAATCACTCTAAGAGTCTTTAAAAAAAAAACAGACTGCTGGGCCTTATTCCACAGTTTCTGATTCAGTCGATTATGGGTCCAGCTAAAGAATCTGTATTTCCACCAAGTATTTAGGTGATTCTGAAGATGCTGATATAGAGAACACATGCTGAGAACCAATGCTTTATATCACTGAGCTTAGATGTAACTGGGGTTTTAAAATTCTTGTCTGTTGGGCCGGGGATTTAGCTCAGTGGTTTCGCTGCCTGCTGCACAAGAGCAAGGACCCGAGTTCAATCCCTGGTACCAAAAAAAAAAATTCTTGTCTGTAGCTGGGCATGGTGGTATGCCTGTTATTCCAGCACTCTGAGAGTCTGAGGCCAGAAGATCACAAGTTCAAGTCCAGTCTGGGCAACTTAGTGAGGCTCTGTCACAAAAATAAATAAATACATAAATAAATAAATAAACAGTGTTGGGGATACAGCTCACTGTGAAGGCCCTGGGTTCAACCTCTAGTATGTGGGTGCAGGGTCTCAGGTGGGGAGAGCTTGTCTGGATCATGCTGATTTGGGGCTTTTTATTTACCTTTCTTATTGAAAAATTAATATGACTTCCCAGTTTCTTCATGTGTTGAGCAATTCTGAATTGAAACATGTTATAAATGTTATGATGTGGAGACTCTGGATTGTTATATTCCTACCAATGGTATCAATTTTTCTATTTTAGCAAGCAATTAACTTGGCTGGACTCGCACTACAAACTCTGTCTGTTGAAAGGAACTCAAATTGCAGCTCTATTCTTTTATCCTTACCTAAGCTGCTTGGAGTCTGCCTGGCACATACACGATTCAAAGATGAGCCAAGGATATAATAACACAGGATCTGTGGTTTTCCCCACCTTGATCTCCCCTATCTGAAACTCCCAGTGTCTGTGGTTGCCCATATCTCATACTCTGGTTTAAGAGGGCAGAAAAGTATGAGTTTTACATCACTTTTAGTTGTTTCACATACTGTCTAAAAAAACAAAACAAGACATGCACTCTATGCTGCCTCTTCCTTCCAACCTTGTCCCCTGGCCTACTGGGTCTGCTGTTAGCTCAATGTCCTCTACTCTCACATAGCTGCTTTCCATACTGTGTCTAGAACTAAGGTGCTATCTCTAGTTAGATCAGTTCAGTATGAGTTTATTCAGCCAATGCTGAAAGCCAAACTCCCTCCTAACATTATTTAAAGTAAAATAAAACATTTATTTTAAAAATAAATATGAAAACGTCTCAAATCGTCAACTACTATAAACTATAATCAGATGTTATACTGCTATCTAAACACATCTATTTTGAAATATATAAACTAATATAAACAAGTTCCTATAAGTAATAGAGACTACATCTTTATATGACTCATGGAAAGAAGTCAAGGTAATTCATATTTACATGTCTTTTTATAAACCAAGTTGAAAAAAGCAGTATCTTTATGCAATCACAATATTATCTAATTCACATTTTAAAAAATCAATTTTCTCCATTCCTTTATGTTTCTTTGGAAGCAGGAACCACAGATACTCTAGATGGGCTATTTTTTTCTCCAAATCATCCTGTCGCATCCACACGTATTATGTACTGAGCTTCCTTCAGAAAAAACAACTTGATAGGCTGCTTGAAAAACCTCTAAGTGAGTTAAATGCATTTTATCCTACTTAATAAAGGAAAGCTACAACCATGTAACCTATTTTCATCTCAACTCACTGCTTGAGGGTAATTTATAAAAGATCAATAGCAAAAATTCTTACCTGTGAGTTTATTTTACTAAGCATTTTCTGTGTCTATGCATTTCATAACTGCCTCTGATTGTTAAACATCCCTAGGGAAATGTCTTCCATGCATCCAGTGCCACACTAGCTCTCTTCTCATACTCATGAGATGTGTGATTAAAAAATGAATTCATAATAAGCATCCCATTAAAGAGCACTCGTAGCAAGCTAACAAATTCAGCAAAGTACCTGTAATGCAATGCATATGCCAAAAGGCAGTCAACAATCTTGTCTATTAAAAAAGTGGAGAGCCAGAAACAAAGGCACTCCTAATGAATACACTAGCAAATTCATTAAAACAGATTTAATCTTGGTAGCTAAATCCTGAAAGTTCAGAAGCCAGCTGGGGATGCAGCTACTCTGTCCACAATTAAAAGCCATTTAGACAACTCCTGCTTGGTTGAAAGAAAGGCAGATAAAAAGAAGCCTTAGAGGAACTATGCAATTATGGAGAAATAATCCCCAAATACAAAGTCAGGGCTGATGTGAAAATTTTCATCCCGAGGATAAAGAGTCAGAGGAAGAGTATTTCTCTTATCAGGTAGAAAGCACAACCTCAAACAGATCTGGGCGTGTTACAGGAAGTTCCCCCAGATCTGAATGAGTGGTAGTGTCGGGCCAGGAGAGTCTCACAGAGTGACACCAGAATGATGAAAAGTCAAGTAAGAGGCTCGCCACTTGCTCTCCTCATGAGGCACAGGAACACAGCTATCCCTGTCACACTGCCTAAGCACACATCCTCCGCTTCTCCAATGCTACAGAAAAGGCTTATGTGCAAAGGCAATGACACTCAGTGGAAAGGTCACTTAGTCACTGAAGGAGCTCGGATTCCCAACTCTGCCACTGATTTGCTTCTGTATGTATAAGTACAGGCCGAGTTGGGGATTAATGCACTTACTTTTGCAAAGTCTGATTTTGATTTATGCTCTGTTTGGAGTTTCTATTAAGCCAAAACTTTTCCTTGTCATTTTCTGTATTCTGTTATACTTGCAGCACAAATTACTGTAGAGGCACCAGTGAACCTGTAGCTCCAAACCACATGCTCAGAAGCAAGTCTCTAACTCAGCAGTGCTTTGCTCCAATTACGAGGACTGCATCTTTTTTTTTCTTAGCATAAGAGATTAACTTTCAAAACTAAGAGTATGCCAAGCACAGTAGGTTATGCATTTACACTGCATTTTAAAAACAGTGATAATATTTCATATCCCTTGTCATAATTCCTAAGGATGATGAAGAGTAAACAAATAATTTTATAAACTACTTTAACAAACTACCCTTAAAACTATGAAGTACTATATACACATTCACTGCTAATCCGTGTCACAAAAATCCCTTAGTGCTAATAAGCTCTCTTTGAATAAGGTAGCAGCTTGCAGTAAGCAAAGCACAAAATTTTTAGCATCTCACTAGTACTTAATTAAATAATCAAAGAAAAATGCTTTTATATTTTTAATAAACATACTATTATATTTTTAATAACTTGTCAATATTATACCACATAGTAAATGTATATCTAATGGAGTTATAGATGGCTAGCTGTCCATCAGAATTTGTTTCCTTTCTCCATAGTACAAAATCATGGCTGGGAAGCAGAAGCCAGGAGCTATTTCTTTTTTCATTTCTTTTCTTCTGGTACTGGGGATTGAACTTCACACTAAGCTGCATTGCTACATCTTTTTCACTGTTTTAAAATTTTGAGATAAGGTCTCATTAAGTCACTAAGCCCAGGCTGGGCTCAAACTTGATGATCCTCCTGCCTCAGCCTCCCACAGTGCTAGGATTACAGGTATGTGTCACTGCACCTGGCAGGATTCATTTCTTGACCTCATTTATAGCAGCTGAGAGACTAATTCTCACCAATGGAAGATGAAGAGAAATAATGTGTGCTGCCACCATGCTATGCATTTAGAACTAAGGACATCACCTTCCTGATCTTTTTTCCTATCTGCTGACTAGATTCAAGTGATGAATTTAACCCATGACTCACCATGATGAGCACTACCCACTGATCAGGAACATCCTGGACTCTTTCATAAATGAGAAGTAAACTTACCATCTTTGAGCTATTGAACATTTACTGGTCACTCTGTTACTATGGTCCAGCATCACTCTAATAAATCCATAACCTGAAAGTTGGGTTTTTCAAAATCTACGAGTGTTTTATGAACCTACAGCGCATGGCAATACTCCAGAATTGGTTGGTCAATAAATAGAAAGCAACTTACAAAATGTATAGCAATATCTATGATTTTGAACAGTAGCAAGAGGGAAGTTCCTCACATTTCTGAAGCAGAAGGGAGGTGCTTCTTCTGCCCCATGCTGCTTGTAATAATCTGCCCAGTCGAAGTCCTGGCCAGAGTACCCTGTGAATGACAAAATCCAGATAGGACAGCATTAGATGAGCTAAATAGAGGCAAATGATTAACTTTGGTGTACACTGGTGATTAAAGTATAGGCGCTAGTCTGGGCCCATGAAGGATCAAATCTTCCGCAGCCTAACAACACTTCAGATTTCATGAGGATACAATAAAATATTTTAGAAAATTAAAGTGTTAACTACACGTAACATATGTTGTCATCACAATGCGGTACCTGACATCAGTGGAAGCAGGTGGGAACTTACCTATTGCTGTACACTGGCTCCTGCCGGCAGGGTTTTGTTACTGAGGACAAGAGCCGAGAGAGGCTATAGCACAAAACACATTTGTAGGATCCATTTTGCAGAAACCCTTTCATATAAATTCTGAACTCAAAGGAACATAATTTTTGGTATCTTCAAGGAAATGATAATTTATTGGAAAAGAAACTTAGTAGGGGGTTGATTTTTGATAGAGCGGAGGACAAACAAGAAGCAGGGGTTTGGAAGGTAAAGCCCCAAAGAAATGAGGAAGACAAGGAGGGTAAAGGTTGCCTTGGAAGCACACTGGTGAGGAGAAAGGAAAGGACATTAGGGAAAGAAGGGCTTCTCTGTGGTGAAGCTTTGGAGGTGAACTGGAGATTCTGAGAGAAGGGTTCGAGAAACAACTATGTACTCATGAACTGAATGAAATACAGATCTTACCCATGTGAGCATTTTTCTTTCTTTTTAATAATTTCACGTTGGTGGGAGGAAAGGGAATGTGACTATAAAAATACAGCCAACTCGACAACCACAGCAAGACATGGGAGGAGACAAGATAAAACAGTTCTGAATCATAAATAAGAAAAGTGTAAGTATGTAGAAAATGCCTCTTAACATGAGTCTCACCTGTTCAAAAGTAAACCAATGAACGGGTATGCCGAGGAAAAGGGAGAGAGGTGTTTTAAAACTTTCTTGTTAATAAGGATGGAAATGCTAAATACAGATCAGTTAAGGTTGACTCAAGTGTGTACAATGTCTCTGCTAACTTCACCTAGTGTGTTCTCTTTATTGGTTGAAGTGAATGTAAAATAAGTCTATAAGAGACTTCTGAAATCTACTTTTGACACAAGTACCCCACCTTTTCTTCATATACCATATACTCTACCACTGCAAATTCACTTAACATGGGACATTGAGCTACTAAATTCCACAGGTGTAGAAATTCTTTTTAAAATTAAATTTATGTTTACCTGAAAAATAAAACATAAAAATTTAACATATTAATGGGATAATGTGATGTTTTGATAGACATTGTGTAATGTTTAAGCCAGGTTAAACACCTTATCTCCTCAAACATTTATCATTTCCTTATGGAAAAACCTTTTAAAATCCTTTCTTCTAGCCTTTTAAAATGTGTAGTGAATTATTATTATCTATAGTCACTCTATCACGCAATAGTACCACAGAACATTTTGCTCTTGATCAACTTTTTCCGCCCACCCCAAGACATTCTTTATTCTGAAACTCAAGAAATCGGATGCTTTCTACCTCTGTGTGCACACCGAAGCACAAAATACAAGTATAATTTTCATTAAGTCAGCTCAGTTTACCCTATACTTTTTGATAGAATGGACACCCTTAACCAAGCAAGTAGCAATCCTCCTTTGGCCTCAAAGACTGACCTGTGACCCTCCCACGTCCTGCTGACCAACAGCAGCATGGAGTGTCCCCTTCTTTGATAGCACATCTACTTCAGGGCCAGAGATTTAGCTCAGTGGCACCATGTCTGCCTCCCAAGCACAACATCCTGAGTTCGATCCCGGGTACCAAAAACAAAATAAAACAAAACAAAATCTACTTCATTCTCTGAAGACTAACAGCTCATTTCTTTGCAACAAGGCTATGAGGGTTCCAAGTTTCAGACACCATATAATCTGTACAGCTAATTTCAAAGCAGTTCTTCCAGTTCCTCTGCATGCCCATTCTCCAGAGCTGTCCCTCTGCTAAATGGCTCTTACATCAGAGGTTTCTGGAAGGGACCAAAACAACTGTCTTCTGAACCTTTGTAAACAAAACAAAGCATGTCCATGTCATACTAAGGTAACAATGTCATCTGCTTTCCAATTAATATAGCCTCGTGGGCCGGGGATGTAGCTCAGTGGCATAGCACCTGCCTCTGGAAAGCATAAGGTCCTGAGTTCGATCCCCAGTACCAAAAAAAAAATATATATATATATACACACACACACACACACACACACACACACAGCCTTTCACTTTGCATGGATTCTCTGGATTCTCTGGACCTGTATAGGAGCAAATCCTCACATTTGGCTATGAGCAAAGAAGGAAGAACGAGCTTTAAGATACTTCAGTCTGGCCAGAAGTTTCCTAACTAGATATACTGCACTGAACGGGAAAGGTGAGGTCTGGGTTTTAGATCCAGCTCTGCAGGTTAGCTGGATGGACTGAAGTAAAAATTAATCAAATTTATGCCTGACTTTGCTCATCTGGAAACGCACAAAACAGAACAGTTTTAAGGTCCCCTCTGTTGGCCACAATCTATGATTCAGAGGCACCATTCTAATCATCTCACTGTTGCTACTTAGGATTTTCTTTCCACCTCCCTGCGGTTAATTCCCCTCCCTTCTCTCAGGAGAAAAGTGTCAGAGGGCTGTACAGGGTGATCATGCACCATGGTCTTCCTATGAAACCTCACAATGTAACCCCTGGAGCAATACCAGGTGAATCCCTGCAATGCCAGGATCCCACTTGTCTGGGGCTCTGGCAGACCTCTTTCTATTCCAGTAGCTTTTCTCTGGACCTCTGCTACTTTCTTAGTTAGTTGTGTGAGTTAAAGAAAAGACTTCATGGGCTGGGGATTTAGCTCAGTGGTTCAGCCATCTGCCTCGCAAGCGCAAGGATCTGAGTTCGATACCCAGTACCAAAAAAAGAAAAAAAGATTTCATGAGAATACCCAGAGGGTAATGTGCAAAGGAAAATCTTAATTAGATGAATAACAAAACATTTTCTGAAATAGTATTTGGGTAATCTGTAGGGTCAACATCTGTACAGGTAAAACCTGTCAACCCCTAAGTTACCTAGTCCCTGTATATAGACATATAACAGTTTTCTACAACCAACTTCTAATGGACTGCAACCCTGTCCATAGAATGTCACGCTCATGTTTTTTTCTAGGATCTACATTCAATCCTCCTATATATCCAGGACTCAAAAGGTTCCCTGAGGAGTCATTTTTAATCTAGTAATTTCTACATATAACCAAGTCTTGCTGGATACCATCTAAGCAAGAATTAATTATTCAGTCCCCTAAAACTCACTAATTTCTTTGAAGATCTAAACAGCTTAGACTTTTCCTCCTCCTCCTCCCTCGCTTAAAGACCTTTATTCATTTCATCACTTGAAATTCTTCTCCTTTGGGTTGATAATGAGCCCTCTTTGTAAGGCAGCTTTGTGACAGCTCAGAAAATAACTGCTACATAAAAACAAATTGCCCTGGCTTGTATAATAGAGACAGCAGGGGTCAATTATACTCATTAATCCACAAAGAGAACAAGAAGTACTGGGGCTTAACTGCAGACAGGAAAACATGTTTTAACCCTGGAGGGAGGAAGAAAACAGCAGAGGAGAGAAGAAAATAAAAGGAAATAAACCCCTTAGGCTATTAAAATTGGCCACAAGCTGTCATGGGAGACTGTTGAGCCACAACCATTGGAGTTATTTAAGCCTTTATTAGTGTTTATTCTGAACGAAATTCCAACTGTCACACATCAGGAAGAGAAGAGGGCAATGACCTGTTTTCTTAAAACACAAATTAACTGACATACACCAGCTCCACTTTCAAGCATTACAGTGCAAATGGACAATTCTTTTGAAAAGCTATTTGGCAGAAAAATATTCATGCCCTTTGACAGGACAATTTCACTTCTCAGAACTTATCCCATCAAAATGACCCTAAAAACTTGGTGTTATGCATTACAATACTTAGAGCATTATGGTTGATAATACTGAGGTGCGTGGCGAACTGAAACAACCTTCCATCCAACAATAAGAAATGATATGAGACTTGTCCAAGTGCATAGAATGCCCTGCAGCCATGAAATTACAGTTCGTTGGGGGAAAAAGTGTGAAAAAGGTTGCCATGGTTTTAGACGAAGACTGATGCAAACTTGTTTTGAATCATTAGATTTATATAAAAAATGTAAAGAGAAAAGACCAGAAAAATAATAATATTATATTAAAATATTCATTTTGGACTCATGATTACTTTTTTCTTCTTCCTCTTTGTCTATCCAAGTTTTCAATAATGATTTTGAAATTATTCCAATAATAAAAAGAATTGGATAAGATAGCATCTGTGCTCTGTTCACAGGTTAAGCAATGCCTGCCTGCTCCATTTGGCATGTGGATCACACCATGGTGGTGCCACATCATCTTCTCTCAGGTGTGCGAATAGAATTCTGTCTTTACCCAGTTACCAGAGAAAGTGAGACTTCGCCTTAGTCCCAGGGAGTGAATTGTGGCCACCCTGGGACAATCATGGTAACCTCATAGGCCCTGCCTATGACTAGGGATGGGGCACAGTAAAGGCTTAAGAAAAGATTTCTCTTTAATAAAAGAAACACATCGGAGTAAAATTCCTCTTCTATACAGGATGGCTAAAAAACAAGATGTACAATCATAATAAAGAATAAGAATAGCAAAAGAATATCATGCTTGCCATCTACCTGACTGGCAAAATGAGAAACATCAGGAGGAAGTCAGCTTCTAAAGGTAGTTGGGAAACAGAAACGTAATACTATGCATTTCTGATTGAAGGGACAACTCAAAACACCACAGTAAATGTCAACTTCAGAATCTAGGCCACGTGTCAAAATTTTCAAGAATGTGCCCAACCTCCATCCTAGACATTTTTTCCTTCATTCAAAAATATTGATCCTATGCATGCTGTGTGCTAAGAGAGTTACAAGGGAACAAAGCCAGCAAAACTCGCCCTGGAGG